TAAGTACACGTCGAAATTCTTTGAGGATATTTAAAGAGATCACACGTTTATATTATAGATGTGAAACTTACGTTTTTCCGTCATTTACGCTGAAACTACTCAACGGATATTGATAAAATTTGATATACAGGTAGGGAATGGGCTGACTAAGGTGATAGGATTTTTATCCCGATTAAATTCTCCCATGGGATAAAACAGGAATACACAGACAAAGCCGTGGGTAAAAGCTAGTACTAACTAAATAGCTATACATCCACACTGTCACATGAACAATACATATTTTAAATATGTAAAATTAATTAGTTTTGTATATGTTTACAGCAAGACGAGGCACAATGGCCGTGGTTGACGTCGGGTCCTATCAAACTGCTTACAGCTGAAGGCAGGAATAAGCTACTCAAGGTAAACATCTATAATTTATAATACAAGACTACTATATTGGAGCCTACCGTATTTTTGCTCACTAGGTGGCGCTAGTGTGAACCTCTTGTTCGACCAGTAGGGAATTAGCTTGCGTCACAACCATTGGACGTTTAATATTTGACAGCTGCTGTGATTGGACAAAAATTAAGCCTCAAAGAGCCATCAGACCACCGCGCGTGGGGCCCAATAGGTCTGATGCCAATGCGGAGTCGCGGAGAACCTAACGGGTTACCGGGGCTCCGGCTCGACGTGCAGGAGTAGGAACGAGGCGGTTTTAGGACATTAAGAGTCTGACACTCCTTGCCGCTTCGCCCAGGCGGGAGAAGTCATTCGATGATTTTCCCCCTTAAATTGGGCCACTACAATATTGTTTATTGCTACGTAGGTCGTAGAGTCGTGAGGGCGCGGAGGTTAAGACGCCCGCTTCTCATGCATGATGGTGCGGGTTTGATACCTACCAAAGCCAAAATACTTATAATTATAAATTATAAGTCCAGGTTTCCTCATCATATGTTCCTTCACCGTTTTTAATGGTGTCTAAATAATCTTAGAAAGTACATATAGCTCGGAAAAAGTCACATTGGTACTTGCCGTTGGTAGGTTTCGAGCCCGCATCCTCATGCATGAGAAGCGGGCATCTTAAACGTCCGGGCCAACACGACATCAGTAAAGAAGGAGATTTCTACATAGATGAATTGATTCCCAGGTCCAGTCCCTAGAAGGCAGCGGTCCTCCGAGCGGGTCGTGGCGCGCGGCGCGGGGCGCGGTGTCCAAGTCGCACAGCTTCGGCGGGTACACGCACGCAGACCCCGCGCCGCCCCGCGTGCTCAGCAGACAGGGTATGTACACTACATTGGTCCCCCTCGCGGGTCGTGGCGCGCGGGGCGCGGTGTCCAAGTCGCACAGCTTCGGCGGGTACACGCACGCAGACCCCGCGCCGCCCCGCGTGCTCAGCAGACAGGGTATGTACACTACATTGGTCCCCCTCGCGGGTCGTGGCGCGCGGGGCGCGGTGTCCAAGTCGCACAGCTTCGGCGGGTACACGCACGCAGACCCCGCGCCGCCCCGCGTGCTCAGCAGACAGGGTATGTACACTACATTGGTCCCCCTCGCGGGTCGTGGCGCGCGGGGCGCGGTGTCCAAGTCGCACAGCTTCGGCGGGTACACGCACGCAGACCCCGCGCCGCCCCGCGTGCTCAGCAGACAGGGTATGTACACTACATTGGTCCCCCTCGCGGGTCGTGGCGCGCGGGGCGCGGTGTCCAAGTCGCACAGCTTCGGCGGGTACACGCACGCAGACCCCGCGCCGCCCCGCGTGCTCAGCAGACAGGGTATGTACACTACATTGGTCCCCCTCGCGGGTCGTGGCGCGCGGGGCGCGGTGTCCAAGTCGCACAGCTTCGGCGGGTACACGCACGCAGACCCCGCGCCGCCCCGCGTGCTCAGCAGACAGGGTATGTACACTACATTGGTCCCCCTCGCGGGTCGTGGCGCGCGGGGCGCGGTGTCCAAGTCGCACAGCTTCGGCGGGTACACGCACGCAGACCCCGCGCCGCCCCGCGTGCTCAGCAGACAGGGTATGTACACTACATTGGTCCCCCTCGCGGGTCGTGGCGCGCGGGGCGCGGTGTCCAAGTCGCACAGCTTCGGCGGGTACACGCACGCAGACCCCGCGCCGCCCCGCGTGCTCAGCAGACAGGGTATGTACACTACATTGGTCCCCCTCGCGGGTCGTGGCGCGCGGGGCGCGGTGTCCAAGTCGCACAGCTTCGGCGGGTACACGCACGCAGACCCCGCGCCGCCCCGCGTGCTCAGCAGACAGGGTATGTACACTACATTGGTCCCCCTCGCGGGTCGTGGCGCGCGGGGCGCGGTGTCCAAGTCGCACAGCTTCGGCGGGTACACGCACGCAGACCCCGCGCCGCCCCGCGTGCTCAGCAGACAGGGTATGTACACTACATTGGTCCCCCTCGCGGGTCGTGGCGCGCGGCGCGGGCGCGGTGTCCAAGTCGCACAGCTTCGGCGGGTACACGCACGCAGACCCCGCGCCGCCCCGCGTGCTCACCAGACAGGGTATGTACACTACATTGGTCCCCCTCGCGGGTCGTGGCGCGCGGCGCGGGGCGCGGTGTCCAAGTCGCACAGCTTCGGCGGGTACACGCACGCAGACCCCGCGCCGCCCCGCGTGCTCAGCAGACAGGGTATGTACACTACATTGGTCCCCCTCGCGGGTCGTGGCGCGCGGGGCGCGGTGTCCAAGTCGCACAGCTTCGGCGGGTACACGCACGCAGACCCCGCGCCGCCCCGCGTGCTCAGCAGACAGGGTATGTACACTACATTGGTCCCCCTCGCGGGTCGTGGCGCGCGGGGCGCGGTGTCCAAGTCGCACAGCTTCGGCGGGTACACGCACGCAGACCCCGCGCCGCCCCGCGTGCTCAGCAGACAGGGTATGTACACTACATTGGTCCCCCTCGCGGGTCGTGGCGCGCGGGGCGCGGTGTCCAAGTCGCACAGCTTCGGCGGGTACACGCACGCAGACCCCGCGCCGCCCCGCGTGCTCAGCAGACAGGGTATGTACACTACATTGGTCCCCCTCGCGGGTCGTGGCGCGCGGGGCGCGGTGTCCAAGTCGCACAGCTTCGGCGGGTACACGCACGCAGACCCCGCGCCGCCCCGCGTGCTCAGCAGACAGGGTATGTACACTACATTGGTCCCCCTCGCGGGTCGTGGCGCGCGGGGCGCGGTGTCCAAGTCGCACAGCTTCGGCGGGTACACGCACGCAGACCCCGCGCCGCCCCGCGTGCTCAGCAGACAGGGTATGTACACTACGTTATATATAAATAAATACATACAAAATATAGACTATACATATAAATGAATAAATTTACATATCAGGAGGAAAGGTAGTGTTCTCTCACTCGTCTTTTAAAGATAGCGATAGACTCAGCGTCCCGAATGCTAGGCGGGAGCTAATTCTATAGTCTCACAGCATGAACGGAAAAGTAGTAGGAAGGTTCTTGTCATAAGGTTTATTTTTCTTTATTATTTTGTATTGAATGATAGAATTTGTAAGAATACAAATAAAACTGCAATTTCAAAAGTCTTATTGCTTTCACTTACGGTCCATTTCGATTTGTTTTAACAATACAGGGTTAATATGACAATAATTTCCGTAGTTTTTTTTAATTATTTTTGGGATAAAAAATTACCTATACTAAAAATTAAATAAATTAATTCAGTTAACTATTCTGAACAAACTATTTTCAGGATGTGCGTTATTCAAGTTACATGTTGTATGTGTTTTTGTTTCAAGTGTGTTTTGTATTGAAATAAAGCTTGATATTCCAGGTGACCTAGCGTCCAGTAGCTGGCGCCTGTCCCCGTCCAGCTCGGGCTACAAGACGCTCAGTCTGCGCAGCACCGACTCCGTCACACCGTCGCCTACTGGTCAGTATAATAATTGTAAAAACCACTTACAGTTACATACCCAAATAAATTCACATTGGTTTGAAAAAGTAGTCACTCTGTCACTGGTAAAATTCAATGCCACGACATTAAAATATCGAAAGAGTGAGTTTTAAATTAGTTTTTTATTAATTATTTTGTTAAATACTAGCTTCTGCCCGCGACTTCCTACGTGCAATCCCGTTTCTCCCATTCCCGTAGGCTTTTCAGGACTTTTTCTGTCATAAGAACCTTCTCCTGACGATAACAAACACAACAAAAAAAATCAGCCAAATCTAGCCGTTCTCAAGTTATGGCGTGACAACGGGAAACGGATTTTATTTATATTATTATATATATAGATTAATTTATTAAATTGGTACAATTGTATTGAATATTTGATGTATCTTAATACATTTTGATTTGTTTTAATAAATATTTTGTATTTAAAAGACAAAGCTCACGTGTAGTTTATGTGTTTATAATAGGGTAGATGACAAATTTTTATTTTAATGTCCGTCTGATAGATTATTTTAAATCATTAGACACGTATTTTTTATTTTCTTATCGAAACGAATACTTTAGGCAATATATTAATTTGAAATGTCGCGTGGCGTCACTTCTATGTACATTTTGAATGGAGATATGACGTTTTAGCCCCCGCTCCTAAACTTTGATTCGTTTTATCTAAGTATTGTTTTATTATACGACAAAATAAAAAATTACGTGTCTAATATTTTTTCTTTACCTAACTTACGGACTAATTAGATTTTTAATTTTCATACCCTGTCATCGTACCTAATGTTTTGTAAAAAAAAAACTACCAAAAAAACAACCACTTACGAAAGTGGTAGTCCTTTTTTTTTCTATACTTGGTAAGTTCAAAGTCTTCAAGGCCCGAGCGAACAGGTTGCTTATGGGACGACGCGCTCCATCGTAGACCGCATTATCGCTTACCACCAGGCGAGACAGTGGTCAAACGTTGCCCCATCAAATATATATAAAGTACTGTTTGTCCGGCAGGCGGTGCGAGCCCGGAGCCGGGCGCGGGGGTGGCGGGGGTGGCGGGGGCGGCGGGCGCGGAGGGCGTGGTGTGGTGCGTGACGGACCTGGCCGCCGTGCCGCCCGGCGCCATGGTCATACACCCGCAGGTACTGCACTGGTTTTACTTCACACATACATACATATATAGATAACTTCACGCCTGTCCCCCATGGGGGTAGGCAGAGACTATTGATGTCTGCTAGGTGCCATACATAACATGCAGTGTATTTTATATGGCACCTAAAATATACAACATGTAACGTAATTAACGCACACCCTCAAATACCCCAATAAGAATATTATGTTATAATCATAACACATACACTAAATTTTTAATTTAACATGTTTGCATCCTTACTGGTCTTGTCATAAGGTTTATTTTTCTTTGTTTTGTATTGAATGATAAAATTTTGTTTTAACAATACAGGGTTAATATGACAATAATTTCCGTAGTTTTCATTGTTTTTGGGATATAAAAATACCTATACTAAAAATTATATAAATTGATTCAGTTAACGATTCTGAACAAACTATTTTCGGGATGTGCGTTATTTAAGTTACATGTTGTATAATAAAAATGGGCATAATTTGAAAAATATACATAACAATAATTTATTCAATAAATTATTATGTTTTCGGCTTACTCATGTAATTATTGACGAGGAACTCGACTAGTTTCAAGCCATGCTAGAGGCTCATATTCATGAGCAGCATTTCGTTTCAAATTATTACTTGAGTAAGCCGAAAACATAATAATTTATTTAGTATGTCTTACAAAAGTTATAATACCAATAATTTTATCAAAATTGAACTGAGAAATTTATTTATTAAGCATAGTTATATTATACATATTAGGGATTTTACAATGAAAATTTATAAGGTGGTTGTCGCTGGATCTATTTTTCATCCTTGCGAACAGAGTCGGGCAAGATATTAAGAAACAAAGGGCTAAATTTAAATACCATTTAATCAACGAGCATGTGTAAAGAGATTGAGAGAGATTGTAGATGAAGCGAAAGAGATATGTCAGAATCGTGGCGTTTGGCAAATCCAGTACTTTTTATGGGATAAGCCGGTAAACAAGCTAACGGATCACCTGAAGGTAAGCAATCGGCGCCGCCCATGGACACCTGGAACAAGTTACAAGTACGCTACTGGCCTTTTGGGGATTAGGAATTTGAGAATTGTTGAAGATTCAGGGATTGGGGAGGGCGGTCGGTTTTTTTCTGCTCGGCCGTGGTATCACTCCGGTCGAGCTGGCCTAGCAGTACCGAAGCATGGCATTGACTTAGATTAGCCCACACTTAAATTTTAGTTTCTGCTTATCCTAATGTGTATGGTTTAACAATGTGTATGGTGGTACGTTAAACATCAATCTCTATCAAAAATGTTTGCATCGATTATAAAAATTCATGTTTGAAACATTGGCCTAGTGACTATGTAGACTGCCCTCGTTGGCCGAGTGGTCGCAAGTGCAACTGCCAGGCAAGGGGTCTCGGGTTCGATTCCCGGGTCGGGCAAAGTATTACTGGATTTTGAAAAATATCTCAGTAGCAGCACGGAGTCTGGAATTGTGCCCGGTATATGGCAATAGGCTCACCCTCTATTACATGGGACTCATAACATAAATAGTGAAAAGTGGGTGTTACATTGTACAGTGGCAATAAGTCCCGTAATGTGCATCTCTGCCTACCCCTTCGGGAATAAAAGGCGTGATGTTATGTTTATGTTTGTTTGTTTAAAACGTAAAAAATTATCTCGGAAATGTATATACACAAAACATAGTTTCAACAAATCAATTTTTATGTGCTTAATATTTCAGACGGGACGTCCACTCACCAACCCGGACGGGTCGATATACCAGTTTGATCCGGCCAACCCGCCCGTGTTGTACGACCCGGGCATCGAACAGGATGACCAGCAGAAAGTGAGTTCTAACATAAATAAATCATACTTTAGATTTCAAACAAATGTCGATGAAGTAACATCAACAGTAAATTATCCGGTTCGATTCCTGTGTATGTTTATATGCACGCTATTTAGCGGTGGCATACCTAGTTAGTAGTGTCGTGGTGGCCCGGAGGTTTAAGAGGCCCACTTCTCATGCATGAGTGTGCGGGTTCGAAACCAACGGCAAGTACCAATGTGACTTTTTCCGAGTTATATGTACTTTCTAAGATTATTCAGACACCACTGACAAACGGTGAAGGAAAACATCGTGAGGAAACCTGGGCTTATAATTTCTAATTATAAGTTTGAAATCGCCAACCCGCATTGAGCAAGCGTGGTGATTAATGCTCAAACCTTTTCCGTGTGAGAAGAGGCTTTGCTCAGCAGTGGGCATTTATAGGCTGTTGAGGATACCTAGTTAGTCAGAGACTCCGAGTTTGAATCCCATTTAAGTCAATGTTTTTTGTTTTACAACCCTTATTTAATAAGGTTTGATTGTACTACAAACGTTTTTAATTAGTGTTATATTTCAAGGTAAATATTATATTTCTACTTATAAATAGTAACCGTCTCATTTTCTTTATTTATTTATTTATTTATAAGCACATGTATAATTTTACAGCACAAGTCAAAACATTATACAGTTAAACAATAAAAAATGTTACTTATTTAATTTCTTATAATAAATATCTTATATAAAAAGTACTATAATTATAATTACTTAAAACTAATTCATCATATTTATGGGATAAGCCGATAAACAAGAGCAGACGTATCACCTGATGGTAAGCAATAGGCGTCGCCCATGGACACGCGGGACATCAGTCGCGGTACAAGTGCGTGACCGGCCTTGGAATTTGAGGATTGTTGGGGATTATTCAGGGATTGGGGAGACTGGGTGTAATTGGGCCTCATCATCACCTCATTTTGTTTTACAGATGGATTCAAGCAACGAGAAGCGTCGCGGTAGATTGGAAAAACAACATTCATTTATTGATAACGGTAACTTACCTTATGTAAATTATTTGTCAATACTTTTATCTATCTATACATAATATAATAAAATCGTAGGAAAGTGAAAACTGTACATCGATTTTTTTTTTAAAGAATGCATTGGGTGTGATGTACAGTCGATACCGAAGCCAAAAATATGGATTTTAGAATTTTTGTCTGTTTGTCTGTATGTATGTCCGGGATAAACTCATAAAGTGCTGCACGGATTTACCTCAAATTTGCAGGAATAGGACTGATAGGTCAACGACGTTAACGTGTTAATCAAAAATTAATTATTTCGACTGTTTAATACAATAAAAAATAACAAATAATTACACTTTCATTAATTGATTTTATGACCAACTTTATTTTAAGTATAAGTATGTTGTTTGACGCTAAAAAAACGTGACGTCACAATACACAATCTCGTACAAAATTCATAGAGAACTGTTGTTTTTGACAGTTCGAAAAAAGTATTGAATTTGACTAGTTGGCAAGTACACGATTGAAGCGTCCTTAAGCTAGTACAGAGGCCTAACTACGAGTTTATTTTACTTTTAAAGTAATCGACACGAGTATGCGTTCGACGCTCTGAGTGCCAAGCACGAATAACTATCGTATTCGTAAAGTAATAGTATCGAGCGCGTTCGGCGCTCTGATTGGCCGGCTCAAGTGAACCAACCAATCAGAACGCTTAACTCGCTCGATACTGTTACGATCGGTCGGTTCATAGAAGCCGGCCAATCAGTGCGCCGAACGCGGTCTCATTTCGAATACTTTAAACGTAAATGAAATTTGTACTAAGGCATCAGAACTTTGTTGTTTTACTTAAATGAGATGTTTCACGTCCCATGTAATCAGAATATATGTACAGTGATAATCTACTCCATTGCAAAAGCAACCCTGTCTTCATATGATTAAAGTATACATTTCGTTTAGATTGCGATTGCCAGCCGAGCGAGGAATGTCGCGGGAAATGTTGTTGCGAGTGTCGCAGGCAAGACGCGAGTCACGGAAACACTGCTGGAGATAAGGTAAGGGGTGTACGATACCCGGATTTAGTATATTTATCATACAAAGATTAACCGGATAGTTTTTAATTATTTTTCATTGAATAAGCAGGTAAAGAAGCAGACGGATCACCTGATGGTAAGCAATCGGCGTCGCCCATGGACACCTAGAACACTAAAGGCGTTACAAGTGCGTTACCGGCCTTTTGGGGATTAAGAATTTAAGGATTGGGGAGGGGAGTAATTCGGCCTCCGGTAACCTCAGTCACACGGCGAAACATAACGCTGTGGTTGTTTCTCTATGGTTTTCTGCTTGTTGGTGGTAGAACTCAGCAGTGCCGAAGCATGGCTCTCCCACAGTTAAAAATGTAAATTATAAACTTTGGGAACCTTTATCTGGGTTAAAAAATTTAATAATTCTAAATAACAATGACGATTTTTTGAAATCATGGTTATCAACAAATTTTCCAATCAAAAATTTTTTACAGTATCATCTCATTAAAAATAATTTCTCCCAACCAGGAACCGATCCCCAAACCAGCAACACCAATAGAAACGAACACACAAATAAGCACAAAAACACAAGAAACACAACACGAACCGACCAATCAGCAACCAGAAACATACGAGCCAGCCAATCAGCAGCCAGTATTCGAACCAACCAATCACAAAGTTTATGAACCGCCACGAACGTTTGAACCGGCCAATCAGAACGCTCATAGCAATGTGTTGAATAATCGACCTGTGAAATTGACCAATGAGGGACATGAAATGCAATATGCGCAGTATCAAGGGTATAGGACTGATGAGGTGAGGAAAAATTAATAACTATTGTTAATAGATATTATATCCGTTTGTATGTTTAGATAAAAAGATTGTCTTGTTGGTAGAGTGGTTACAAGTCTGACTGTAGAGGATCTCAGGTTCGATTCCTGGGCCGGGCTAAATTTTGACTGTCTTCTATCGTATTGAAATCACGTTACATCATGTTACATTTAATATGAACATATATGCTTAGCCGCTCTTGAGATAAAAATTCTGATGTTGTAAAATACATGGAACTGACAAGCATTTGGTCTCGGGTTCGATTCCCAGAAGATACTCAAAATTTTGCCAAGCGCTTGTCAGACAATTACGATTTTATGAAAACAAAATCTAGAAAATTTGACAAACCATACCAATATTTCAATACTGAAATAAATCTAGCTCATGATCATGATTAACTTATTAATCCCCGTTATTCACAAATCCCCAGCTAACATCCCCGCAAATGGGCAACCACTACGTGTCCCACGAGGTCAACATGCAAGTGATGCAACACAAGATGCAACCCATGCCGCTACACGACCCTAATATGCGTGAGTATTATCTATATATATAAAATCTAGCTACTTCCCCGCGGTTTCACACGCTCTGCTCAGCTCCTATTGGTCGTAGCGTGATGTTTTATAGCCTATAGCCATCCTCGATAAATGCGCTATCCAACACAAAAAGAATTATTCAAATCAGACTTATAGTTACGGAGATTAGCGCGTTCAAACAAAGAAACAAATTCTTCCGCTTTATATAATAGTATAAGATGAATTTCCGTTCGTTAGTCTCGCTAAAACTCGAGAACGGCTGAACCGATTTGGATAATTTTGGTCTTGGAATGTTCGTAGGCTTAAAGGGTGAGAAAAAAATTTTGTCGGTACTAAGTTATGTTATGACAATCACGCAGAAACATCACACAAACAGGTCAAACTGAAAAGATTTTTTTTCTTTTTGAAGTCTGTTAAAAAGAATTACTTATTTCTTTTTTTTTAAATAAAACGTTGCCCCACACTAGGATTGTCTCCTGTGTCGTGGGTGCGTTTACAAACATACAAGTTCACATACACATGACATCCAGACCCGGAACAACAATTTGTGGATCACACAAAGAGTTGTTCCGTGTGGGAATCGAACAGGCGACAAAGAAATTTTATTAAAAAAAAAAGAAATTATTCAAAACAGACCAGAGGGCCAAGCACGAATAACTATCGCATTCGTATCGTAACAGTATCGAGCGAGTTAAGCGTTCAGAGTGCCAAGCACTTGAGCCGGCCAATCGGAGCGCCGAACGCGCTCGATACTATTAGGTTACGAATGCGATAGTTACATGCTTGGCACTCAGTAGATTCAGAGCTTAGCTCATTCAAACAAACGTTAGTATGTTTGTTACTCGATCACGTCAAAACGACTGAAGGGATCAGAATGAAATTTGGAACAGGGGTAGATAACAAATAGGCTACTTTTTATACCACGGAAACGCGGGCGAACCAGCAAGTAGAAATAAGTAATATTGCAATTATGTTGAACCAGCGACCCGCCCCGGCTTCGCACGGGTGCAATATGCATGTATCTTATATCTTATACTATTCTTGTACTCTTATACTATTATATAAAGCGGAAGAGTTTGTTTTTTTCTTTTTGTTTGTTTGTTTGCTTGAACGCGCTAATCTCCGTAACTACAAGTCTGATTTGAATAATTCCTTTTGTGTTGGAAAGCGCATTTATCGAGGATAGCTATAGGCTATAAACCGCATCAAAATCCGTTGCGTAGTTTTAAAGATCTAAGCATACATAGGGACAGACAGACGGCGGATAGCGGCTTTGTTTTATACTATGTAGTGATACAATAAATAATTGTTTTGTTTGTATCGTTTGACAGGAGCGATGCCGCTATCCAATATGAGCAACATGGTGTACCAGGCGCCGATGCCCCAACCGTACCCGTACCCGTGCAGGGTGGTGAGTATTGAAATATACATAACATCAAGCCTTTTATCCCCGAAGCGGTAGGCAGAGGTGCACATTACGGCACTTCCACTGTACAATGTAACACCCACTTTTCACTATTTATGTTATGAGTCCCATGTAATAGAGGGTGAGCTTATATGTCTCGCCCATAGTCAAAGTCAAAATTATTTATTTCAATTAGGCCAGAATGGCACTTTTGAACGTCAACAAAAAAATTTAAAAGTGAAGCTATTTGCTCATTCCAAGGTGTAGATTCCTATGGAGAAGAACGAGCTAAAAACTCCACAAGTTCTCCAAACTTTTTCAATCAAGTTCACAATACAATTTACTAGTTACATAGTTTTGCTGTTTGGATTGTGCGAGAACAATGTAACACTAAAATCCAGTCAAAGTGATCGAAAAAGAAAATAACCTTAAGGACAATAAATAATACAGTCTGGAGCTGACCAGTCCCAGTTGACGGCGCCCGTTCACGGACATGACACGTACACCAGCACCGCCCAACTCATAGACACCTGAAACACTAGAGGCGTTACAAGTGCGTTACCGGCCTTTTTGTATAGAAGTTTAATACACATTGCGTCTCCAGGAGCCGTCTCTGCAGATGTACCCGCCAGTACTCCCGCCAGAGGATCAGAAACTCGCGCCCTCACCGCATACCAACGAAACTGCTTTCAGAATTGGTGAGATTTTTTATTTATTTATGTATATTATTTACTACGATACCAACAGTTTTATGCGTAAAACGATACCGCGTTTGGCTCTGATTGATTGGTTCATTGAAGCCGGCCAATCAGAGCGCGGAACACTGTCTCGGTCATTACTTTCGACGTAAAAAAAATTAGTACTAAGGCCTCAAATGTAGTCAAACATAGCTTGTCACTGAGAACCTAACGGGTAACCGGGGCTCCGGCTCGACGTGCAGGAGAAGGAACGGGGTGGTTTTTAGTCAGTAAGAGTCTGACACTCCCTTCCGCCTCACCCAGGCGGGAGCAGTCATTCGATTATTTTCCCCCATTAAAAAAAAGTCAAACATAGCTTTAATGACATACACACTCTAGCCTATTTTAAGCCGTACCGAAAATAACGTATTATGGAATTATTTTAAAATGATTTGTTATTATTGCGTGTGTCAGACCCGAGCTATCCGTACGCGGCAGTGGACTACACGGGGTGCGGCGCTTGTGTCGATACATCCATGCAACGGAGGTATGTCAATTTCATCATTCATCAATCATTTAAATATAGGTGCGTTGTTTCACTGTTCTATGAAAACCTGAAGTAATGAACATACGTGTGATAAGTGTCTGATGTCGGAATACTGAAACGCTACTCAATTTTAAGCCGCGCTTAAGTATAGTTCTGTCTCCACAAATTCTTTGTAAAATGACAGAGATGGCACGATATTTAAACACGACTTAAAATTGAGTAACGTTTCAGTATTCCGGCATGAGAGCCACGCTTCGATACTAATGGGCAGTCTCGACCGTACTGATACCACCAACAAGCTGTACTCCATACTGACACACAGCGTGTGGGCGAGTCATTTAATTCCAATTACCCCCCCTCCCTAAACTCTCCAATCCCCGAATCCCCAACAATCCTCAAATGGAATAAACAGGTTGACAAACGAGCAGACGGATCACCTGATGGTAAGCAACCGGCGTCGCCCACCTGGAACACCAGAGGCGTTACAAGTGCGTTACCGGCCTTTTGGGGATTAGGATTTTGAAGACATTTATTCGTATATGTTACGATACTAATTTGATAATTCTTTTCAAATGTTTAGGGATATGTGACTAGTGGGAATAGATAATCTGGATAATTGAAATGAATATATTAGACGTGTTCACTTAAATTGCATATATTTGCGACTGGCTTTCGTGGCGGGCGCAGCCCCCTCTAAGCATGCACACATACATAGCGTATTCATTATTCCTGCGCACATACATGTATGGTGTCCCTACAAAATGCAATTCATTTTATCCCATCTTATTGTATTAATAGAAAACGTATACATTTCTTTTATAATATTTCAGTTACAGCGTCCCGTACGGGCAGATGGAGGTCCCGGCGCTGCCCCCGCACTACCCGGCCCTCGGGAACGTCATCCTGCCGCAGCCACATCTACAACCATACCCGGTCAGTTCACGTCACAGATATGATCTGTCAATTATACTATTATAATTGGGTACTTTCTTTAATCAAAAATGAATTATTTCGACTGTTCAATACAATACAATGTTAAAAAATAATCACACTTTCATTAATTGATTTTGTAACGAAATTAATTTTAGTATTTTACCAGCAATTTTTTAAGAAATAAGTACGCTGTTTGACGCTAAAAAACGTGACGTCACAATACACAATCTCGTACAAAATTCATAGAAAACTATCGTTTTTGACAGTTCGAAAAAAGTATTGAATTTGACTAGGTGGCAAGTACCCGATTTGAAAAGTCGTATAACAAATATTATAGTTTGAAACAATGATAAATAGCAACAGCTATAATATATCCCAATAGTATAATAATTAACACATAACATCACGCCTTTTATCTCCGAAGGGGTAGGTAGAGGTGCACATTACGGCACTTAATGTCACTGTACAATGTAACACCCACTTTTCACTATTTATGTTATGAGTCCCATGTAATAGGGGGTGAGCCTATTGCCATACACCGGGCACAATTCCAGACTCCGTGCTACACATTTATAATGAAATGATAATTATTGTCCTCAGCAATACCAAGAGCAAGTGGGGTGGCAGGTCCCCCCCGGGGGGGGCGTGCCCCCGGGTGCGCCCCCCAAGGTGTGCGTGCCGGAGCTGTACCCGCTGCAGTGCGTGCAGTACCCGCCGCACTCATACCCGCACTACAACATACTCTACCCACAGGTCAGTTATACTAGCTTTTATGGCATAAGCCGGTAAACGAGCTGACGGATCACCTGATGGTAAGCAATCGGCGTCGCCCATGGACAATCAAACCACCAGAGGCGTTACAAATGCGTTACCGGCCTTTTGGGGATTAGGAGTTTGAGAATTGTTGGGGATGCTAAGATTGGAGAGAGGAGAGGTAATTAGGCTTCAGGTGCAGGAAATACGGACTGACAAAGAATTCCACTCCTTAGCAGGACGCACAAGGAAGCTTGAGGGAGTTTTGAAAATAAAAATTGTTCATTCATTCATTCATCAACAGCCTATAAATGCCCACTGTTGAGCAAAGCCTCTTCTCACATGGAGAAGGTTTGAGCATTAATCACCACGCTTGCTCAATGCAGGTTGGCGATTACAAACTTATAATTAGAAATTATAAGTCCAGGTTTCCTCACGATGATTTCCTTCACCGTTTGTCAGTGGTGTCTAAATAATATTAGAAAGTACATATAACTCGGAAAAAGTCACATCGGTACTTGCCGTTGGTGGGTTTGGAACCCTCACCTTCATGCATGAGAAGCCGGCGTCTTAAAACTCCGGGCCACCACGACAAAAATAATTCATTCAAGACATAAAATACAAAGAAATAACAGTTTTCATTCATTATTATGTTTTCGGCTTACTCACGTAGTAATTTGACGAGGAACTCGACTAGTGTCAAGCCATGCTAGAGGCTCATATTCATGTCTATTGCCATATTCCGGGCAGAATTACAGAATTCGTGCTAGTACTGATATTTTTTTAAACCCAGTACTTACACCCAATACTTTGCCCGACCCCTTGCCCGGCAGTCCCACTTGCGACCACTCGGCCATCGACAATCTCAGATAACATTAACTGGGCTAATTATATGTTCCAGGTGATCCAACAGCCTTACCCGATATGCCAACCAATGTACCCGGTTATAGAGAAACAACCTGAGCAACGCAACTCCAAACACAACTCTATGCACAACTCAATATCAAACTCAGCCTGCCAGACGCCGTTCCAGGACGAAAAACTAGCAGAAGATGAGAAAAAATCTAGACAAAATTCCGAAATTGCAGCCAAAATACAGCAAATCAAGACTCAAATGGCCCAATTAAATACTAAAGACGGAAAGGAAAGGGATTATAGGAAACGCGAGGATTATCGCCGAAGGAATAACGGGAACGGACTGTTGGGCAACTGTCCCGTTAGTAATTATAATGGACGGGTTTTTGGGTGAGTTGTATTTTTTATATATTTTTAATTATTCAAACATCTATTCTTTTTATTTATTAACTAGCTATTTATGCGCGGTTACACTCGCTCTGCTCTGCTCCTATTGATCATAGCGTGTCGCGGAGAACCTAACGGGTAACTGGGGCTCCGGCTCGACGTGCAGGAGAAGGAATGGGATGGTTTTCAGTCAGTAAGAGTCTGACACGGGAGTGTCAGATCAGATCACTGCCTCCGCCCGGGTGAGACGGGAGGGATCCCGTCTCACCCGGGCGGAGGAAGACATTCGATGATTTTCCACCCTTAGAAAAAATTGATCATAGCGTGATGTTTTATAGCCTTCCTCAATAAATGCTCTATTCAACACAAAAAGAATTATTTGATTGGTCCAGTAGTTTCGGAGATTTGCGCGTTCAAACAGACAATCTCTTCAGTTTTATATCTTAATCGTGTTAGTTCATTATTATAATAGGGTAGTTTCCAGGGTATGAAAATAAAAAATCTAATTAATCCGTCAGTTAGATAATGAAAAAATATTAGACACGTATTTTTTTATTTTCTCGTATTAAGTTGCAATACTTAGATAAAATGGCGCTAAGTTTAAGAGTGGGAGGTCGTTACGTCATAGCTTGCTATAAAATGTGGCACGCTGTGACGTCACACGATATTTCAAATTAATATAAAGTTAGTAATATATATAATAGATATATAAATGTGTTTTTGTTTTATGATCAGACGCGGTGGTACTGATGATAGACACCTGAGCTCGGCGGCGCGCGCCATCGTCGATTCAATCCGGAGTATGCAAGCCAAAAATACATGTAAGTATTTATGTACTACATCTTTATACATACATAGCTTCACGCTTGTCTCCCATGGGGGTAGGCAGAGACAATGGACCGCCAATTGCTACGATTCTTACATACTCCTTTCGCCTTATCAATAGTCATCAGTCTTATCTATCATAGATATATGATATATATGATAACATAACATAACATCACGCCTTTTATCCCCGAAGGGGTAGGCAGAGGTGCACATTATACCACTGTACAATGTAACACCCACTTTTCACTATTTATGTTATGAGTCCCATGTAATAGGGGGTGAGCCTATTGCCATATACCGGGCACAATTCCAGACTCCGTGCTACTACTGAAATTTTTAAAAACCCAGTAATACTTTGCCCGACCCGGGAATCGAACCCGAGACCTCTTGACCAGCAGTCGCACTTGCGCCCACTCGGCCAACGAGGCAGTGATGCATGATTTATCATATATATGATAAATGATAACATATATGATATATATGATAAATCATCATAATTTAATTAAAAGTGACACACACATCTGTTGATGTTTTGTCACTTTTGGTCAGCAGTGGGCACTTATAGGCAACACCCTATATGTGTCCAAAGGCCTCTTCTCACACGGAGAAGGTTTGAACATTAATCACCACCGGTTAATAAAAGAACATAACATAACATCACGCCTTTTATCCCCGAAGGGATAGGCAGAGGTGCACATTATACCACTGTACAATGTAACACCCACTTTTCACTATTTATGTTATGAGTCCCATGTAATAGGGGGTGAATAAAAGAACTTCAGCACATATATATCTCTCTCCACAGATCACCAAGACAATCGTCGCGACTACCAACGCTTCGAGCACAAACAAGAGAGGCCGGAGTTCCGGCGTCGTGACAGAGAGGACAATAAGAGCGTGGACAAGGACAGGCCCGGCGACGGACCGGTGGGGGAGCGATACGACGCTAGGAATAGGGGACTCAACGTCAACGTGCCTGTTTATAGACAGCCTTATTTATTCAGACAGGTACGGTGTTGTTTGTGTTCATATAACATAGTCCTTTTAACTCGTCGAGTACCGTATTTATAGACACAATTAAAGAACAATAGGTTGCGGTCACCGGTGACCGCTTGGTGTTTGACAGTTTAAGTGTGGGAGAGCCATGCTTCGGCACTGCTGGGCCGACTCGACTGGAGTGATGCCACGGCCTCACAGAAAACCGACGTGAAGCAACGCTTGCGTTGTGTTTCGTCGTGTGAGTGAGGTTACCGGAGGCCCAATTACTCAATCCCTAGTCTCCGTCTCCCCCGAATCCTCCACAATCCTCAAATACCCAAATCCCAAAAGGTCGGTAACGCAATTGTAACGCCTTGGTGTTTCGAGTGTCTATGGCCGATTGCTTACCATCAGGTGAGGTGATCCGTCTGTTCGTTTCGGCGTATGGTATAAAAAAAAGTCCGATAATTAAGTAGGAAATAGGGGGTTACCTGGGATTTTTTTTAGTTTTATATGCTCTTTGGCTCGTTGGAGACTGCCTCGTTGGCCGAGTGGTCGCAAGTGCGACTGCCGGGCAAGGGGTCTCGGGTTCGATTCCCAGGTCGGGCAAAGTATTACTAGGTTTTTCAAAAATCTCAGTAGTCGCACGGAGTCTGGAAATATGCCCGGTATATGGCAATAGACTCACCCCCTATTACATGGGACTTATAAACATAAATAGTGAAAAGTGGTTGTTACATTGTACAGTGGCATTAAGTGCCGAAATGTGTGCACCTCTGCCTACCTCTTCGGGGATAAAAAGGCGTGATGTTATGTTATATGCTCTTTTTAATTTCTATTTTTGCACCTTTGTACGTGCGCCGTTTTTTTACAATATCTTTTTCCTGTGCATTTTACGAGAAACCCGTTAACTACAAAATCAAACTACACACAATAAATAGTGTTAGTTAGTTGTTTTTTATGAACCGGACATAGGAGATTTTGTTTTGGTACGATATGTCATAATCGATATTTTTAAACGAAAATGCTTGTAAGGTATCTGCAAAAGTTCATTTCAAATTAACCGGGCGAAACGACTGCACGTTTAGTGCGGTGGCTGGGCAACCGGCTGCCGCGCTACGTGTCGCGGGGTCGATTCCCGCACTGAACAACTCTTTGTGTGATCCACAGATTGTTGTTCCGTGTCTGTGTGTCATGTGTATACAGGAAAAAACCCTAATGTGGGGCAACGTTTAAAAAATGTTTTACTTATTTTAAATCTTGATTACAGATGACACCCGGGACGTGGTGTCGACGTTCACCTGGAGCAGTACATCCAGGTTTGTATATCAAAACTTTTTTAGTATAAGTAGGTGGCGCTGGTGTAGTTTAAAGTGCTGTTCATAATGTATCGGCGACTTATAAAAAGTCTATGTATAGAGAAACTTCAAATATTTTTTGTTATATTTTCCAGTGCTGAATCCACAGCGGCGACCACACCCGGACACGCGGAACCCACGTCGTTAATTACATATTCACAAAGCAATAATTATATGTACATACTACCTAAATACGGGGTCGGCAGAGATATAGGTTCTTAAACAAATAAAGGTACAAAAATACGATTTTACATATAAAACATGGTTACTTTTATCTCGTACAAATAGGGTATGAAAATAAAACTTTATTTGTAATGATGTGACTGAGTAACAAACTCAAACACAACTCGTCGCGGAGAACCTAACGGGTAACCGGGGCTCCGGCTCGACGTGCAGGAGAAGGAACGGGGTGGTTTTTAGTCAGTAAGAGTCTGACACTCCCTTCCACCTCACCCAGACGGGAGCAGTAATTCGATGATTTACCCTTCTTAAAAAAAGACGCATAATCACATATTTTCACATTTTACAATAACGGAATTACCTATTATTGGAAGCAAGTATAACAGATCACACATAGGCCCCACTTAGTTTTTAGTCAATTTTCCGTGGCGCTTGGCGACTGGGCTTCACCCAGTTGTACAGTCTCTTCTTTGTGCCTTTAGGCTTAATTCACTCTGTCTCCTGCAGTAATTCACCGAGGGAAATGGAAACTATCGTTTTTTTCTTCTCCTCTTATAATTTCTTCTGATTCGCTTCGTTGCGGGAACCAAGACAGTTACTCATGTCCCTGGGACGCGCCGGATTTCAGTGTTCCGGTGTTTTCATGGTTGTATCTACTGTAGATCCTGGCTTACAGGAGTTGCAGCGGATTAGGGAGGTTGTGGCGGGCTTGTTCCATTAAAAAAAAGTCTTCCCCCCAACGACTACACATACCGAGGTTGAAGCCCCAAATACCAATTTTTAGTCAACAAAAAGTACCTTTTTAATAAAAAGAGCTATATCTCTGTCTACCCCATTAAGTCAAAACGTCAAAGGAAAACAAACGTAGTCGAAAAGATCTCATACACATGGATCTAGTCATTCATTTTTTTAAATAATAAATAAATAAATAAAATAAAATAAAAAAAAAAACAACAAAATCATAGATTAGTAAACGTCAACTCGTTACTTTTTTAAGTTTTTTTTTTTGAAACTACGAACCTCCTTTGACTCTATGGTTGACCATAACGTACGAATAAGTTTAACTTATTTAAGTATTTTAGGTTATTTTCGTCCGTTTTTTTTTTCTCTTTTTTTAGTTTCGTGACCATTATGGGGTTTTAGATTTAGAGAATAATGCTCGGTTGATTAATATATCGTCTCACTGCTAGACTATGAGTCTCCTCTACATAAGAGGGGTTTGTCATCATCTCAACAGGCGGGTTGGAGACCGCAGTATAAAATACAGCAGCTGTAGCCAAATGCCACTTAACGCTTGTCTACATGTAGAATAGAAAACCAAATTATATGAAATTGACGTAAATTTTGACACTTGACAGTGTCATCCCCATACATTTAGTTTTCTACTCTCTCTGTAGACAAGCGCTAAAGTGGCGTTTGGCTAAAGGTTCAGGTTTATGAGAGAGCGCTGCTGCACGGTCTCTGTCTAATGTGTAGTCCCTTAGTCGGGTATACGACACCCGCGGGAAGAGTAGCGGTGTTGACAAATGTATTATACTCTGCCTGTCTAATGCCGAAATATTAAAACGTTACTCAATTTTAAGTCAAGCTTAATATAATTAACTGTGACTACATTTTTTTAGTATAATTTCAGAGATGGTACGATATTTAAGTACTACTTAAAATTGAGTGACGTTTCAGTTTTCCGGCATAACTAAATAAGACAGTTATAATACATACTAGTAAAAAAATCTCCTAGTTCGATTCCCGATAATTATTCTCAAAAAAATTTCCCCCAATTACAATATTAGTCCTAAGTTACACATAAGTAAAACTGAAATTGTATTTCATTCAGTAAACATTGTATAAAAATTAGACTTGCAAATTGCAAGTAAAGTCTGCGATATAGACTCGCCCCCCTATTACATGGGACTCATAACATAAATAGTTAAGTGTTAAATTGTATATACAAAATGTTGTTTTAAAGCCGCGTCATTTTCTAGGAGGTAATTCGGATATCGATTCTGAGTACGAATCAATCAAAAAATTTTAGGTAAATATTTTTCATTTTTCTGAAATTACGGAAATCCGTAAGTGCGAACTACACGCCGCCGTCTAGCTTTATAACGCGGCTTAACACACACAAACTCAAACACGTAATTGACATTATTCCTAATTCCATAAAACTCCAATAAGAAACATTGCTGTCGCTTATTCTGAAATACTGTCCAACTTAAACGATTTATTATGGCCGTATTTTTAACTATTGGCCCGAAATTTTCTCTTACATTGAACCTTTATGACTTCTGTGACATGCCCCCGAGAAATGACACGGCTTCAAAACTACACCTTGTATAACATGAGGTCTTCGAACGAGTTAGATTTTAGTTTAAAGTAATTGAAATGACACCGCGTTCGACGCTTTCATTGGTTGATTCATTATAGCCGGCCAATCAGAATGCTAAACACGAATAACTATCGCATTCGTAACTTATATGCCGGAATACTGAAACGCTACTCAATTTTAAGTCGTGCTTAATTTATTTATTTATTGAATGGTGAATCAACAGCTACATTACATACATTTAGCAGAAAAATAGTAACATTGAGCCACTTACAGATTCACACGAATACTGACTTAATAGGTAACAGCTAAGACAAAATAAAAATTATAAATACATCAAAAACAGGCAACAGTATAGTTCTATCTCCACAAATTCTTTGTAAAATGACAGAGATGGCACGATATTTGAGCACGACTTAAAATTGAGTAACGTTTCAGTATTCCGGCATTAGCAGGGTTGTCCAAACAAAGGCCGGCTTGTTTCCATGTCGCCCGCGACACACATTTTAATCTCAACATCTTCATCTTAAGTGTAACATAAATATTAAATTTTTATTGTAACTTTCGTGAGACATACTAAATAAATTATTATGTTTTCGGCATACTCACGTAATAATTTGACGAGGAACTCGACTAGTTTCAAGCCATGCTAGAGCCTCATATTCATGAGCAGCATTTCGCGACCTGCTATGATGCTGTCTAGCATGGCTTGAAACTAGTCGAGTTCCTCGTCAAATTATTACGTGAGTAAGCCGAAAACATAATAATTAACAATAATAAAATTCAGTGTATGATTTGTATACAAGTTTAGTCTGTGAGTAAAGAATACAATGTTAAACGTCATTATACAGCTGAAAATATTTCTCTGGCCCTCCAGCTTTTGTAATAAATTTAATTAGCCCGTTGGCCGAGTGGTCGCATGTGCGACTGCCGGGCAAAGGGTCTTGGGTTCGATTCCCGAGTCAGACAAAGTATTACTGGGTTTCTAAATATCTCATTAGTAGCACGGAGTCTGGAAATGTGCCCGGTGTATGGCAATAGGATCACCCCCTATTACATGGGACTCATAACATAAATAGTGAAAAGTGGGTGTTACTTTGTACAGTGGCATTAAGTGCCGAAATGTGCACCTCTGCCTACCCCTTCGGTAATAAAAAGGCGTGATGTTATGTTATGTTAATCAGCCCGTGAGGGTATATAGTTTGGGCAGCCCTGACGTATAGTAACGAGTGCGTTCGACGCTCGGATTCTTTTAGTCACTGAAGCCGGCCAATCAGAACGCAGAACGTGGTCTCATTTAGATTAATTCAAACATAAAAGAAACTCGTACAGAACAAAGAGGGCAAACAGACTACCCCCGATTGCGAGTTATAGACAATATAATAAAATGTTTACTAAATAAAATATAGTTTTAATTACAAAAAACAAAATTTTATGAGCGGAGTAATAGTTATAATTATTTTGATATGATATGTTTTACATGGAACTCATAACATAATAGGGATGATGACAGGGTATGGAAATTAAAAATCTAATTAGTCCGTCAGTTAGGTAATGAAAAAATATTAGACACGTATTTTTTTATTTTGTCATATAATAAAATAATACTTAGATAAAACGAATCAAAGTTTAGGAGTGGGAGGTAGCTACGTCATTTTAGAGTATAAATTGTACTTAAAAGTGACGTCATGCGATATTTCAAATCAATATATCTTCGAAACTATTCGTTTCCGTAAGAAAATAAACATACGTGTCTAATGTTTTTAAATAATCTACCAGACGGACATTAACTTAGTAATTAGTCATCTACAGTATTGGTGAAAGTTAATGTTACAGTGTACAATCGCCAGCAGATCAATCCTTTTGTTTCTCCAACCTCCAACCTGATTATACACCGTCATATCTATTTCATTTACGTCCCGTTGACTTGACATTGACTGCCTCGTTGGCCGAGTGGTCGCAAGTGCGACTGCCGGGCAAGGGGTCTCGGGTTCGATTCCCGGGTCGGACAAAGTATTACTGGGTTGTTAAAAAAATCTCAGTAGTAGCACGGAGTCTGGAATTTTGCCTGGTGTATGGCAATAGGCTCACCTCCTATTACATGGAAAAATTATGAATGAATTTCTTTTTACTTTATACATCGATAGTACTCCATAAGGCAAGTTATTTTGCCTCGGGACGAAAACGAAATAGATTCCACGGTGTATTGACATAAAGTCGACAATCCAATGAATAAATTTGACGAATTAGAGTAGATTGATCTACTGACCACTGTATAATATCACCTACCTAAATAATTATTTCGATTTAAACTTTCATCTCTAAACAATAAAGGCTAATATCGTAAAGCAAGTTTTAACGAACAATAATTATACTATTACTCTGCTCATAACTCTACAGTTAACAAACATAAATAGATATTAAAAATATATTCAATATATAAACGACTGTTTTAGTCAATAAAGATAATATGTTTAACCTGTATGGGATATAACTCGATTGTTACGCCATCTATTGAGTGTAATTGTAACTAAACATATGGAAACTAATCTGGTAACAGACGTACATCTAGCCAAATTATTTAATATGCAGATAAGAAATTAAATATTGATTCAAGTACTGAGAGACTGTAGCTATTGTTGTAT